TGTCAAGGATAAGGACATGTTCTATGTTACATAAGAACACGATTTGGTGTTCTATATTACTCAAGAATAGCCATAGAAAAAATTCTCACACAAAGGTGTTTTTATTCATCAAAATCTGCCTCAAAATTATATATAAGGTTAGGGAACTAGGGCACCAAAAAGATGTGGCTTCTCCCTTAACAATAGGAGAGAATTTATCTACAATAGGAAACTTCCACCTCCTGAAAGATTTAGCTTATTCCCTTTCCTATATAAAATAAAAGACATCCTTCTAAGACCAAGATAATTATAGACTCCTAGTTAAATAAATCCCTGAGTGACCATTGACTCCTAAAATAAATATGGACACAAATAAATGGACACCACTTACACTAGGCCTATTCAGTACCACTAGAAATTAAATAAAATCTAATGAGGACTATTTAATTAGCCCAAGTTCAAAGCATAAAGGAAATAACATAATGATTAAAAGACACAGGGCATTCGACCCTTAGGCCTGTTCTCATGAAGACTCTCGGCTATGTTCTGGGAACACTTCCATGTCAATCTTATATCTAGCATACTCATTCTCGTATTTAAAAGAATTGATAATTGTTATAAAAAGATTCAATTAATTCTTATATAGATAAAGAAAAAGACTAGCGGAGGACCTAAAATCTCGAATTGTACATTCGTAAGATTTTACAACCGTGTAAATATGGAATCAATTGCTTGCATGTATATACTTCAGAACTCAAATAAAACTACTCTTTCTATCATTATTTAGCCAATAAATCTAAAAACATACATAATGAGTTTAAATAAAGGGGAAGATTGATTAGCTTACTAACTCGATCCAAAGAGAGCGGAGATTAATTTGTCTTTGAAGTTCATGTTCCTCTTACGATTATACCAACTAAAAATAAAAATACTCATGTCTACGGATTATCATGGTAACCACTTGCGATTTGAGAGAGAGAGACAAGGATGAAATTTCATATTTCGGAAGCTTTTCTTTATTTATTTATCTTTTTTACAAAGATAATTTTTTGCACAGAACAAAAAAACTATAGGCCAAAAAACCTTATTCTTTTGTTTGCTATTAATTATACTAAACATTCTCAAAAATAAATAAATTTAAGATAAATAATATACTCATTTATTTTTATATAATACTTAAAGTCTTTCATATGTTTTTAAAGTTATAATTGCCTCACATTTGTTCTTAAAAGTATTTGAAATGTTTAATATATCTTTTTGATTAATTTTTTCAATCATATGAATTTTTTTTTGGACCAAAATGCTCTGATAAAAATGCATAAAAAAATAAAATAAATTTTTAAAGGTTTCAAAAATAAAACGTAAAGGCCATGTGATTTAAGTATTTTTTTTTTCATATTTTAGTAAAGAGCATTTTGGTATAAAAACAAAAGAACAAAAAATCATTTTTGACAAATTTTATCGAAAAGTCAAAACAGATTGAATATTTTTAAATTTTTTAAAAAATATATGAAATATAATTAAAAATTTAAAAATAAATAAAATTTTTTGAGTATTATATAAATACAAATATGTATATTTATTCATAAATCTATACTAAACGGGTGGGCTTTCATTATTGGGTTTGGTTTTGACAACCTTGGTCTTACGCTATTATTGGGCCTGAGAAAAATAGCCCACCAACTTGGAAAATAAGCTGAAACGTAGCCGAATTTTGGAATCGATGAAAACAACTATGAAATCACTATTTTATCGATTTTGTGATTCAACGAGTGATGTCATTAGACTTTATGCAAATCAATTTTTTTTATCGTACGTGCTAACTCCTCGAGTCGGTTTTGACTGACAGCGATTTGACAACTACGTGGGAAAAATTTTTATAATACATAAAAGATAATTAATAATATATAATAGTTATTTTATAGATTTATTTTAAAAAAATAGGTATATTGAATTACATCTGAAATCATTAAAAATAATAAAAAAAATTTATGTTTGTTTAATTTTTTTTATTTTTATCTATCTCTTCAAAATAAATATAAAAAATAGCTATTATACATTTTATTAATTACTTTTCACATGTTATAAAATTTCTTATAAGGAGCCCGATTAGAGCTTTTTTTTTTTTTAAGTAGTCCTAGGAGGGATGTAATCACTGTTAACTCGAAGAAAAAAATTAAAAATAAAAATAGACTTGAAGACATATCGGGTCGCCGGTGAGGGTAGAAGTGAACCAACCGAACCAATGGGGCCAAGAGGACGCAGGCAGGCAAGGCGCAACCGCGCATGGCCTCTCCAATCTCCCATTTTTTTTCTTTTTTCTTTTTTTTTTCTAACAATCTGTTTATCAACCCTTATTCATCATGAATATAAAATAATAAATAAAAGATGGAGGATATAAAATGATAGGAGGAGTAGAGTAGGGGCAGATAGGTGATGAGTCATCATCTCTCCCTAAATACGGTGATAACGATTGATTGGACATGTTGCTTTTGTTGTTTTCCTTCTTCTGTACCCCGTTGTCGTCTCCGTTTTCTCTCTATCTCCTTTTACCATTTTACCCCTCATGAAAACTTGGGGTTCCAGAGTAGTACTTAATTTACCAACTTTAAGAAGTGGATTTATTCACTATTTATTTCCTTCGCATTTAACTAATGCGTGAATGTTAATACTTTCCGTACAATGATTTGATGATAAGCTATAACAAAATTAATGTTTGAATTGTTCAAAATTTAAAACTCAATCGTGTTTTTATCTAAAACGACGTCATCACAAAACCTTGCATAAAAAGAAGGGACATCGTTTTTTTTTTTTAATTGATCACATCATAATTTATGATTTTGTCACCTTATTATTAGAAACTTTTTTTCCTTCTCATTCTAACATAACAAGAAAAAAATTATCATTTATGGCTTGTAAGTAATTATAGCATTTTTGAATAATAAATAGGAGACTTAACATCGAAGCTGTTACAAATTTGTACGTGGATATGGAGATGTTAGACTGTTGAATATTTATCATGATTTGAAGTTTTTACAAAAATGTAAATATTGGTTGCAAGAGATAATATTTGTTCTTTCTTTTACTCTATTTTTTCTTTTGCATTAATTTTGTAGAGGAGAGAGGAAGAGAATGCTAAGAATTAATTTTTTTCCAAATCTAAATATTTTCTTTTTTATTTGCCATATAATTAATATTAGAATATTTAATGTCATTAAAAATATTAGTCATTAATTTGAATTGTATAACCAAAATTTAACTAACATGATGTATCGTGTTATGAGTAACATTAGAAAAACCGAATCCATACTCTTTTGCTTTGTAATTCATGAATATTTCTTATTTATTTTAGCATTTTTTATTGAAACTTTAATTTAGCATAACAATTATGATTTAAAAAGAATAGTTTTTAGGAAATCAACCAAATAAATCTTGATTTTTTTTTTATGAATAATAAATCTTCTTCTTAAGAAATTAAATAAATAATTTGTTTGTTTTACAGCCCAATCATTGAATTGTAAACTATAAGTCATTCTTTATATATATAAAACATTGGTCATTCTACATTAAAACATTACATAATTATAGAAAATTGGTTTTTTTTTTCTTTATAGTTTAAGGTTCTTTATTTATTCTATTTTCAATTAAGGCAAAAAAATACACTTTTTCTGTTCCAAATACATTGTTTATCATTCTATTTATATTTGTTTCAAAATATTTATTAAGTCAAAACTTCAAAAGAACGTACATTGCAAAAAATATTTTTAATTATCTATTTTTATAAGAAATTATTCAAATATAATTTTTTTTAAATATGAATAAAAAATGTTATATGATATAACAATTAATATTTTTTTATACATTCCGTTTAGGAGAGACGCATTAAATATATACTACTCATCATGCCTTAAAAAAAATTGTCTCTCTTTTTATTTATATATGTTCTAAAATGATTATCTAATTTTAAATAATATATTTTCTTAAAATACCCTTGATTGGTAAAGAAAATCAATTTTTCTTTCATTTTTTTTGGTCTTCACTAAGAAAAAATCAATATTCTTTATATTTTATCTTTATATATACCAATATCTTTATCATAAAAAAATTTAATGAGAAATTTTTTGTTACAAAAAACATATTTATTTTTGTAAAATTTTTATTGCATGTCAAAATTTTAGGAGTAAAATATTTTTATTAGTATGTTATTTTTACATAATCGTTTTAAATTTTAATAGTTAATTAACTTAATAGTTTTTTTTTATTTACTATCTTAATTTTAGATAGATTTCCTTCTTAAATTAATATTAATTTCATATAATACAAAATTCAATTTGATAACTAGTCATTTTAATAAAAAAATATTTTAAAAATATATAAACAAAAACAGCTGATATGATATAATAATTAATAATTTTTTTAATTGTATAAAAAGTCGATTAATGATTTTTTTCAAATTAGGTAAAAAGTCATGGGAGAAAATCTCTTTGGAACAGATATAACTGTAGGGATATTATGGTATTTACATCCTCAGTCATCAGTCTCCCAAGGAGAGAAGCAAACTGACCCTGTCCCTTCAACTAGCTTGTTACAAATCTCACCAAGCGAGAAGAAGAATCTCTCTTTCCCTTAAAAGTTTTCAACTTTTCAAACTGCAAGCTCTTACACAAACCTGCCAAGCTCTCTATTTCAAAGCAGAGTCTACCCTTTTATACAAGGTCCAACCACTTCAAAATAGCCGAGCATTTCTCATCTTTATAGCTTGTCTATTTGATACTTTGAGAGTCTTTGATGGGTCTAACCTTTCTTCACTAACAAACTTTCAACATTTTAGTTATCTTCGTTATGACCTGCACCTTCTTTCGTCATAGGAGGTAAGAACAACAACCCGTGACCTTCTTTTGCGTCCTTTATCTGAAATATCATTGACTGTTTGAAAGACCAGAAAGAACATCCAAGACAGAATTACAGAATTATGGGCTTTAGCTTTCCTGGCAGGTGATAAAGTCAGTGGCAGTTCTAAAATGACCATTTTACTTCAAAACGACAGGCTTCCTTCCCCTTGTGAATCTCTCTGGATTCCCACCTCTTCTACCACTCTTAATGGTATTATTTTTTTACTTGATTTTCTTGGTACTTTCTTTTTCCATTTGATAAGCTACGATCTTTTTTATGCTTTGTGTCTTGTAGGAATTGTTGTAATTTCCCTCTCTTTATTTAATTTCAACTCTTGGTTTTGTTTGTTTGTTGTTTCAAGATTGAAATTTATTTGTTTTCTGTCTTTAAAGTGTAACATCTTTAATTTCGTAATTGTTCATCTCTAAATCTCTGATAGACTCCTGAGACTTATCTTCTATTGGATGTCTCAAGACGAATTTTCCTTGGTGTTAGCCTACAGAGCACCACTGTCATTCCTGTTTTTTTTTTTTTCCCTTTATGCAGTGTCTTCCAAGAACAGAGCGCTTTTGTTATTTCACCGTACTGTGAAGAAAAGATTGAAGCTTTTGCATAGAATTCTCACTTTAGAGTTTGTTCTAGTGGCATTAATTTCTGCGCAGTGCTTACTGCCTTGACATCTTTGTGTGTTTGGTCTCCTGCTAATTTGCTCTTTGAACAAGCTTTGTTATGCATCCATGGGCTTTCGGAAGCTAGTTTTGCTTACAAATTGAGACAATTCGGGGCCATGTTAATTATGAGCACCCTTCTTTTGGTTACACTTTGAGGCTACAAAGCCACTATCAAAATCATACTGCAAGTGATATAAGATACTACTACTAATAAATTGTAGATGTTACGTTTGTAATTATTCGACACTGTTTGCCAACATTTTTTCCAGGTGCGAAATATATGGTTAATTTTGAGGATGTTGGAGGAGGAGACACCGTTAGTACGCCATTTTTCCAACCAGATGTCAAAGAAGAAAGTAGCGATGACGATTATGATGCGGGCCTTAAGCGGCCTGAAAAGAAAAGACGGCTTACGGCTGCTCAAGTTCAGTTTCTTGAGAAGAACTTTGAGGCGGAGAATAAGATTGAACCAGAGAGGAAGATGCAGCTTGCTATAGAACTTGGCTTGCAGCCTCGTCAGGTTGCAATATGGTTTCAGAATCGTAGAGCTCGGTTCAAGAACAAACAGATGGAAAAGGACTATGACTCCTTGAGAATCAGCTTTGAAATTCTCAAGGCTGATTATGAAAATCTCCTAAACGAGAAAGAGAAACTGAAAAATGAGGTAACGAACCTTACCTTAAGAACTCAACGTTCTCTCTTTCAGCTCCAAATTGGCTTCGAATCATTAATTTCACTAATGCATCAGTTTTTATGATTCAACAGCTTCTTTACCTGAAAGAAAAATTGCACAGCAGAGAGGAAGGAATTGAAAGTTTAAAACTATTTGATGTAATCCGTTCACCAGATGCAGAGCTTGAGCCCATTCCCAACCCCGCTTCTGAGAATGTTTCCAATATTGTGCCAATGGTGACAACCAAACAAGAATACGCAAGTTCAGCTAAAAGTGATGTTTTCGACTCAGACAGCCCGCTTTCATTTTTGGAGCATGGTGATTCTTCTCGTGTTTTTGAGCCAGACCAATCGGATTTTTCCCATGACGAAGAAGATGATCTCATCAGGAGCTTTCTAGCCCCTCCGTGCTTTCCAAAACTCTACCTGGAGGCACCTGCAACTTCATGTAATTTTGAATTCTCAGCGGAAGATCAGACCTTTTGGTCCTGGATTTACTGAGTTATCATATATCAGAGCCTTGCCATGGCACCAGGCTTAACTCTTACGGGTTGATATTTTTGTCCTGCATTGTTATATGAGCAAATGCTATCTTTCAAGTTGCATAACTGCGCTGTTGTTGACCTTTTTTTTTAAAACAAAAAATAAATAAAGAAAGAAAATAAAAATTCTGTTGATGCTTCTTTTGACAATGATTGGATTATTAGTAATTGGAGTTTGTAATCATACAATAGCCTTTTGAGCCTCCTTATGTAAAACAAATTATGTAATTTGTTTCTGGATATATTATTTTACTTGGTAGTGATTATTAATATAATAGCATGTATATGCTCATAACCGTAATTGTTTACCAAAAAAAAAAAAAACATAATTTCAAAGGTCAAATGGTAATTTTTTTTAAAAAAAATACTCTCAAGACTTCTGAAGGATGAGTCAAATACAAATAACTATAATGAATTTTTATTTTCAGCCCAAAACAAATATCACATCACATGTTTCAGCCCAGGGATCCTTTAGCAGGTGAATGGCTGTGCAAAATTTATTAGAGATTTAGTTATTTAGAGCACTGGATCCTTCAGCAGGTAAATAGCCATGTAAAATTTATTGGAAATTTAGTTATTTAGAGCACGATGATCATTCGCAACAAGGATAAACTCTTCTTATGAGAACCTTAGGAGGCCGTAAGCTAGAGCCCAACAATGAGCCTGAGGATTCCAGATTCCTCCACCTGAATGCCTACCTGTCCGTTTGATTCTGTACAGAAAGATGAGATTTGAAAATTTTCCACAGCTTGCCATGTCAAACTAAAGCTGGCAATAAAAGGCCGTCATGCCTCCACTACAATATACACAGCAATTCTAAGTTCATGCCCAGAAGAATTTGGATCTTTAAATCATTCCAAGCAACGACTTACTACAATATCCACTACAAATAAACGACATGAGAAAAATTCATTGACCAGAAAATAAATTAAGGCAGCCATACCATGAAGACAAATTAAGACAAAACTTCACTGCAGAATCCTGCGAATAATAGGGAAGAAGGGTGGTCGTAAAACTGTTTTCACATACTATATGATAATATTACCCCAGAAAAACAAGATTGCTCATCAAAACAAATAGAATTGGCCATTTCCTTGCTTAAAAATCAAAGCCTCGATGATGATCCTTGATATTAAATCAATGACTAAGGCTATTCATTTTCGCACAGGTGAGCACTCAAAACAAGTTGCAAACCCAGCAATCTGTATTACTACTGCACAAACCATTAGTTACTAAGAAAAATCTTCAAGTGCCTCATGTGGTGTACCTCAGAGCCCTTCACAGCACGATAAAAATATAATTTCCAACAAAATTCAGGCACTTTGACCTCCTGGAATGATCATAACCTCAAGAAAACTACAATCTCCCTACCTGAGATTTAATTAGTTCCACGTGGTTTTTTCTCTCGAGTTTGAGAACATTAGATCTATATGAAAAATCTCATGCAGGAGAATAAGAGAAAGCAACCCCCTAAATAAATTCAAATATTGAAACAAGGAAGGTAAGCTCCTGGCAAGTTGCGACTGACAGAACATAGACATTGAGAAGCATAATCTTTGTCTTTTGCTATCAGTTGAGCATCAGTTCGACAAGCTCAAAGACTTGCTAATATGTCGGAGGATACTCCACATAAAAGTTGATATAAAGAAGAGGATGATACCAGTAACAATAGCATACTTGAGACCTAGGTTCACCAGCAAGTTTACCAGGAGGGCAGCCAAAACAACACCGCAGAAATTTGCTGACACGGCTGACCAGAAAGGCATATCAAGAATAGAAGCTACGATGGCGCCAGTCCATGCTCCTGTTCCAGGGAAAGGCACAGCCACAAAAAGCATTAGACCAAGCCATTGGAATTCTTTCACAGGACCAGATTTCTCTTTGGCATTCTCAAACAGCATGTCAAGGAACCGAGATGCTGAGTGGTTCCTTCCAGCAAGGAAAGAAGCAAATCTCTTCAAGAAAAGTACGATGAAAGGCACAGGAACCATGTTCCTGCAAATAAAAACGCAAATGATGTCAAACATCTAGACCTGATTTCTTATTTCTCGAAGTGATTGTGCTTTTGACGAACACAAATATATTACAACATAATTAATCACCTATACATAAATTACGAATTTCGTCGGCCAAACTTAATGGAAAGGAACACAAATCATCGAAAGAGATTAATTATCCACGAAATTCAATTAATTTAGCTTTAATTATATGTTCAACGGAATTATCCTTTCAAATGGGTTTAAGGTGAGTGTAGAAAGCAAAGCAACACAATTTTTTTTCACAGCAATGAAGCACCCACAACTTTTAAATTCATGAAAATATCTCTATCTACCAGCATCCATAATGATGATCATGAGGAAAAAAAAAAACCAAAACCAAACTTACCCAATAACAGATAAGAAAGTGAGCATCATAGGGTTGAGTTGCATCCAATAACCAACAGGAATAGCCCCACGGAGCTCAAGCACAGGAAATGTAGCAAGAGCAAAGACCACAGCTTCATCAGGCCAGCCCAATCTACGAAGCGCAGTAGCAATCTTTAGACCAAAGCCGGAGGCTTTGATGGAATCAATAGCTGCATTAGCATCCCCAGAAGCTGCAAACCAAACAAGAGAAAGAGACGCCCAAAACGCGACCCAAAAGAGAAATTTGACAGGCTTTGGTTCAGAGGACGGCAAAATCTCTTTGTCTTGGGTAGTATCGAAAAACCCATTTGAAGAAGCTCTAGTTGCAGTAGATGATGAAAGAACATGAAGAGCCCCCAAATGATGAAATGCCAAGAATGATGGCTTTGACTTAAGAAGAGTTTTCTTTTTATGAGTAACAATGGAGGTATTCGTATTCAATTGGCTGGATATGATTTTGAAACGATTTTTTCTGAAAGAGATTGATGACAGTGATGATAGTGACGCAGAAGCTGCCATTTAACAGAACAGAACAGAACGGAACAGAGGGAGAGTTTCAGCAAATGATTGTGGGAAGGAAAGAGACTTGAGGTAAGGTTTGGTTCGAGGGCATGGGATAGGTTTGATGTTCATCAAATCTAAATTGAATAATCATTATTTTGTGTACGATAAAATAAAATAAATCAAATCTTTATTATTATTTTGTTTTTGTTTAATATGAATTATTAATTTAAAATCAATTATGAGATTAGAATATTATCGATTATGTTAAGGGAGGGAGTATGAGATTGAAATCCGAAGACATATAATGTTAGGGATGAGATGTAAATTGAGAGGGTAAATGGTTTTTTTTTTTAAAAAAAAAATATATATATATATATATAATCAACTTATACGTCAGTCAATTGAAACTACTTTTTTTTTTTATAAGTAATTTTAAAAATGCACGTCTTACGTCGATTTTGTATATTTATATGAATTTAATAAAATATCTTCTCTGCCTGCAGGTTTGAATCTAAAAATTCAAAAAAAAAAAAAAAAAAACATTTTTAACAACCAAACAACCACTTAAAATTAAAACAAAATTAATTTGTGTATGGTACCATAGATAATACAATTTTTTGTTTTATGTCTTTATTTAGTCAATTGTTTTATGTCTTTATTTAGTTCCAAAGACCAAAGATAACAAAATATAAAAAATATTCATTTACTCTTGTAATACATTTCTTGTACTTGACATGTGGTTTCATGTAATTTTTTTCTTCATTATTGTCTTTTTAAATATTTTTAATGATTATATTTTTTTACAATGAATTATATTTTAAAGAAAACAATATATATTTTTCCTTTTATTGTATAGTCTTCGCATATAAAATTTGAAATATTAGGTACGATACTTTTTTTATTTCGTTACATTATTTAAGTAAATAATTTTAGTAACAATATTTATTAGGAGTCAACAATAACCCCCATGAAAATCCTTAATCATAAAGCGATGCGTATTAAAATATTTATATATATACATTTATTAAGTGTAAGTATAATTCTCATTACATCATGAGAAATTAATGCTTGAAATGTGTGATTTATGTTAAATTAAAGTTATTATGCTTGAGATTAATGATTTAATTATTAAAGAAACCAAATATGCAAAATCGGTGTTTTAAGAACTATATTACGTTCGAATTTTATGTGATTTATTTGAAGACTTGAGAGTTATTTACGAGTAAAACTTAAAGAATGAACGTCGTTCGTCTATATGTCTACTAGCTTTTTGTAAAAGTTTTTGATTTTTAGATCTAAACATAAAGAGTTATGGCCATTTTAGTATAGGTTGGTCTTGAAGCATCACTACTCGAAATATTTTTAGGGAAAGAAAATTCCAAGTTTAGGGAGAGGGATTTCTGAAAATTTAATGGAAAGAAATATGTTTAGCTACTTGAACTAGATTATTTAGGGTGTTTAGTTACTCTAACCAATTAATTAGGACACTTAAACCCCCTACTTAATGAATTAAAGCTAGCTCACTCTAAACCTCTCAAACTCGCCACCCTCTCTCTCATGACTCACCAATAACTTTTCAATCTCCTAAATAAAATTAAGACATTTGTATACTTAATTGATGCTGAGATTTTAAGCATGTATATATATATAGAATAAGTGAGAATGGAAGAAAAATTTTAGGCGGCCCATAGCTACACAAACAAGAGAGAAAAACGACAAGGAAAGAGAGGAAAAGAAAGGAAAGAAAAAAAGAAAGAGAAAGGAGAAAAAGAAAGCAAAGCCAAGGAAATTCTAACCATACCTAAGCTAAGTAAGTGGGTTATATTTTTCTTTTTTATACTATTTATTTAATCTTTATGCAATTAACTAGCTTGTGTTTAGGTGGTGATATGTTATTGTGATTGGTTGTATTGAGTGATTTACTTTGCAATTCTTATTGGTATAGTTGGTTGTATTGATTGGTTGTGTTGGTTGCTTCCTAAAACTTAGAAAGCCTTGTATATGATTAAATTCATGTTTGGGGGGATGTGAATGATGGAATTGGGCTGAC